AACCCACAAGCCTTCCTCTGCTGGCATCGACTCGCCTCATTTCCTTTACCACCTTTCCCAGCCTGTCGACCCACAAGTCAGTCTTTGTGCTGCCTTTCTTTAGTCGAAATTTCCAGCCAACAGACACATATGTTTCACTAACACCCCTCATATCCAACCATATACTTTTTTCCATACTAACCTAATCTTAGGACAAGAAATGAAGAGAAAAGTTGCACTCTCCAAATGACTAAAACAGAAAATGCAAACAGTTTTGTGTGTATTTGAAATAATACCTAGTTGAAATAAGTTTCCCCTTGGTGACAACCTATCCAGCAATAGCCTCCATCCAAATACCTTCACTTTGGAAGGACAAAACAATTTCCAAAGACTGCACAAAGCCATTTTGATGCTATCTTCCAATACTCCTCCAACTGTAGCTACTAGTAATTTAGAATAATATGATTTAATTGAGAACTTGTTCATACTTTCCCATGGCCAAATGATCACATCAAGTTTCCCTAAACTGGTTTAGTCTCCTGCAGCAATGCAGACAAGTCCTGGTGTTCATCAGTCAATGCTTGAGATAAGTCCAGCCATTGGAATTCCATGGACCAAATCCAACCATCTAGTTCCTAATTTTCCATATCTTCTATCATAACACGATCAGGGTTGCTATAGAAAATAGGCCAGGAAATTTTTCCCTTAAAGTGATTTTTCCTATCTACCTCGCACTCCAAAATGGAATTGATTTTCCGTCACCCAACCTAATGGTTAAGAGATCACCAAAAGGTACCACAGCAGCAGTTGTATTGATCCTAATTATGTCTTTCCACCATTGCGAATCCGATTGTTTTACTACATACGACTCTCTTGCAAGAATATTCATAACATAATTGTTGTATTTATATCGCAGTAAGTCACACTAAATTGCATTAGATTCATTGATGAATCGCCTTAGCCATTTCCCCAATAAAGCCACGTTGAATAATCGTAAATCTTTCAATCCTAAACCTCCTTATTCCTTAGTCTTGCAAATAGAATCCCATTTTACCCAAGCCATCCGTTTTGATTCATTAATCCTGTGCCATGAGAAGTTTTGTTGCAAAGAGATGAAATCCTCCAAAACTTTCCTAGGAGCCTTATAAAATGACAAGTGATGAATTGGAAAATTCGTTAAAACCGAATTAAATAAAGAAACCCTACCACCAATAGAAAGAAGTATGCCTTTCCAAGGAGTTAGCCTTGTTTTAAAAACCTTATTAATAGGATTCCAATATGACAACCTGTTATGTCTATCACCCACCTTCAGGCCCAAAAATCTGAACATAATCGCTCTACTCCTACAGGTTAGAAACTAAGAATTCATCAACACCAATGCCATACAAACAACTCTTAGTAGTATTTATTCTTAAGTCAGATGTCATTTTAAAACTCTTCATACTTGCTTTGGTAGCCCATAAGTTTGACTGCTCGCCATTGCACAAAATTACAGTATCATCTGCAAACTATTAAAGAACAGCTTGTCACATCATTTACTTTAAATCCTTTTAGAAAACCCACAACAATTGCCCTATTTACCATAATAGAAAAGCCTTCAACCACTATTGAGACAACGAGTCTCCTTGCCTCAAGCCACGAAAAACCTGGAAATCTTCCGTAAGACTACCATTCATGAGAACAGACATATAACTCGTAAATACTCCCCCATCCATCTACCTCAAGCCAAATCCCATAGAGGACACCATATACTTCAGATATGGCAAGTACAAAGAATCATATGCCTTAAAAAAATCAACCTTAAACAACACACATCTTTTCTTCTTCTTTTTTCTAGATCTATTACTTCGTTTAAAACAACTACCTCATCAAGTAACTGTCTACCCAGAATAAATGTCGTATGAGTCTTGGAAATCAACTTACCCATCACAGTTCTTAATCTTGATGCCAGAATTTTAGATCGAACTTTATACGCACATCCTATAAGGCAGATGGGCCTATACTCATTAAGTGTCTGATGGAAGTCTATTTTTGGGACCAATGCAAGGAAATACGAGGTCATAGATTTGGGTAGTCTAGCCGTGATATAAAATTCCTAAATACATCGGACAAGATCAACACGTATAACTTCCCAGAATTTTTGCAAGAAGCCCAAGTTGAACCCGTCAGTTCCAAGGCTTTTGCACAACCAAAATCTGCTTCTCTTATTTCCTCATCAAATCGACCTTCCATTATTTGGCTATCCTCAAAAGATAACCTTGCCATACCTTGATTTTTAAGTAATGGCCTAGGTGTATAAGATGACCTAAATAAATATGAAAAATGTTTCTTTATTGATTCTTTGACAAGCTTGACTTCTTCTACAGCCTTCAAACCCACCCTAATTAATGTTATAGCATTCCTCCTAAGTACTGTTTGAACTTGCTGTGGAAAAACTTAGAGTTCAGATCCTCGTGTTTTATCTACTTAACCCTCGATTTTTGATGAATAATACTCTCTTTCAGATGCATCTTTGCCCACATACTCTTTTGAGCACAACTCCTTTTTCCCAAGTCCTTTACTATACCTCAGCAACATTACAAGCCAGATCTTGCTCCGCCTCATTTATTACGTTCATATCTGCTTAAATTTGAATGTCTAAAAATCCAAATACGTTTAAGTTTCACCAACGCAGCCTATCCCTAAGCAATTGAAGCTTTCTAGAAAAAACGAATGTTGCACTACCATAGACATTAAAAGCTTTCCATTCACGTTCCACAAAAGGCAAGAATTCTGGGTGGTCAAACCAGCAATCAAAAATATTAAAAGTCTTAGGGCCCAAATTAGTATTCATATCCTTAAGCCAAACTAGACGATGATCGATATGTCACGGTCTCCAAGAGATTGTAGAAAAGAGTTTCCATCATTAGCCACATCCAAAGAGATAAGGAATCTACCTAAACGACTCATACACTTACCATTAGAAGTATTGAAGGTGAATTTGTTACCTTTCGATAGAAGGTCCACAAGATCCATCTTTTCTATGAATTCTTTTAAGCCTTCCATTTCACCTTTGTGCACCTTCCACACCCCATTCTTTCGCCCCCTGCTCTTAATTGCATTGAAGTCACCCCTCTAACCCAACCTTCATTTGGTAGTTTAGCTTTAAGTTGTAATAAATCAGCCCACAATTTCCTTTTTTCGATCAAACAACACGGCAAATAGACGTTTACAAAGTAGAAGGTCTTACCATTCCAGATAGTGTTAATACACAAAAATCCTTTACCACTATAACTTGTCACTAGTTGGATAAAATCTACTTTCCACAGCAAAATCATTCTCCCAGAATTCCCCACTGCATCAATCACTGACCATTGACAGTTAGAACCTCCCAAGTACTCTGAGCTATAATATATGTCATCTTCTTGCATTTGGTTTCTTGTAGAAAACAAATATCAGCATCTCCTGGTGACAAACTATATTTGCATGTGTCTTTTCATTATCATAACCTTGTAAATGACAATCACATCATTAAAGTATCTCTTATTTTTTTGTTTTGTTTGAGGAAGATGATAATATCAGCATCTCCTGCTTTCAATTATCATAATGCAGTGGTTGGCTTTTCTGAGAAATCAATGTATCAGATTATGATGAAGAACTTGGATTTTGAAATTGTTTCTATTGATCAGTCAAATGCTTTTGGTTGGCTTTGGAAACTGAAAGTCCCTGCGAAAATTTTGTTGTTTGGTTGAAAATTGCTTTGGAATAGGTTGGCTACTAAGGATCTCTTGATTAGAAGAGGTTTTGGTGAGTTGGATCCCAAGTGTGTGTTATGTAATGTTGAAGAAGAAAATTTGATGCACCTTTTCTTTATTGTCTTGTGTCTATGATTGTTTGGGGAAAAAAATAGGAGATTGGTGTAGGTGTTTTGGATCCTTTGCAGGTTGTGTGTGGAAATTCTTCTTGGAGTGGGATGAAGTTAGAAACAACAAAGTTGAAAATATGAAGTTAGGTTCTATTTGGATGGCACTAGTGTGGTCTCTTTAGAAAGATAGGAATAACATCATCTTTAATAGTCGTATATGTAATGTAAACAATATCTAGTAGAATATTAAGATTTTGGCCTGGAAATGAGCTTGAATGAAAGACATTTCTTATTCCAACAATTAATGTAAAAATACTATGTGAAAATAACATTTTTCAAAATGGTACTAGAAACACACTCTTAAACTTGTTTGAATAAATATAAATTTATTTTAACATTTTTTAATAATTCACCATAATAAACTATAGCCAAGTTGCATTGAATAGTTTTCTCTACTTTTTGCCATCAATTGATTGTGAAAGGTCATGTTTCAGTAGGTGATGCCTCTTGAATAGGAGAAGAATTATCAAACCAGAGTTTCTTCTATATAACTTCTTCAATCCTTTTATCTTCAGCACTGAAAAGGTCTCCATAACACACAATTAGGAGGTCTTCACAATTTTCAGCTCGTAGAGTGTTAAGACTTCTCTTGACAGTGTTTGGTTTTCTTTCATTATGCCTCTTTCCATAAAATTGAAAATAATTTCATTAAAATTTAGCACATATCTTTTATGCATACACCAGATAATAGAACATTGAAATTATTTATTGTTATGCAATTATTTATTTATTTATTAATTAAATTATTTCTTAATCATATCTAAATTTTACTCAAAAACATTTCTATTTTTTTTATAAATACAAATAAATTTTTTATAATTATTTTTTTTGATCAAATGTTTAAAAATATATGAGACCAACAAAAAAAATGTTTTTCTTAGTTAAGAAGAAATTAAAAATAGATAACAAATAATACAATAAACAGAAATAGTCTCTATTCCATAACAATATATTTTATTTTATTAATACTTTTATCATTTTTTTAAAAAACAATTTATTATGCAGCCTACCTATCATTTTTTCAAAAACTAATATAAATTTTTGCTCTTAACATAATATTTAGATTCAATAATAGTTCAAATGCATTTTATTCCATACATAAGCTTCTTATGATAATCTAATTCTTAGGTCTTATTTCTATTCCTTCAAGAATGAAACCACTCTTGGAACGACCAGCCTTTATCTCGAGGACACCAATCTGAATGACTTCATCTTGTTCGCCTGAACTGAAGAACTCTCCGATCTCAATCTCCAACCAGCCATCACTTCTCAGTTTTGGACTCTCTAACCCTAATAACTCATCATCTCGTTCCTTATCATAGTTTGGATCTAACCAAACTTGTTTTGTAGATATGCGGTCTTCAAATTTATCTATAGTTAATTCCACGGGAATAACATCAAACTGACGGGGATCGATCAACTTGAACACGAGAACAGCTGCATATTGTGTATTTGAGGACAAAACACGTGTGTTGATTTTCCCATAAATTTCAAACCACCACACATAATGTAGCCTAGCAACCTCTTGGAATCTGGTAGAAACAAGAATTAATAGCAAAATCAACACGTTAACAATGTGAGAAAGTTATTTAAAATAGATTTAAATAGGCTATGAAGCACTAGACGCATACACGACCGACGCTAATACATCGACATTTGTAATAATTTAAAAAAAAAAATGCAAGTGTGCGAAATTGACACATAAGCTAGGTGTCACTACTATATTGTAAATAAGAACTGACCTGGACTCTGGTAGAGTTATCCAATCCCAATAGGTAGGAGTGTCACCCCAAGTGACGGAGAGATCTCTAGCACTAAGCATGTATATCTTTTTTCCACTTTGTTTCTCTAACTGAAAGCTCTGAATTTTAGTATAACACCATTTTATTAGTTAGGATTTAGGGTTTAGAATTAAAAAATCAAATATTTAACTTATAACAGTGAGAATGATACCTTTTTACCATTGTCGATAATGATTGGATTGTCAGAGAGCGTGAGATAGAGAGACTTCTTAGAGGGAGAGGTGGCGAGCAAAGAGGATCCAGATTGAGATTCAGAAATGATTGAGATCAAATCAGATGGAAGAAAGTGTTCCCAAACAATGTCTGATTCAGAGGCAGAACAAAAATCTTTGGAAACAATGGAGAACTTACATGAATCAACTGGATCTGTTAGCAACAATATATTAGCAATGCATTCCTCTGGAAGAACCTCAAACTTGTTATCTTCTTCTCCAGACTTTGCTTTCATCTCTGTTGCCATTTTGATATTGTTGGTGGAGTATGCGATATAAACTATGAAATAGATGATGATAGCCTTAAAAATTTTGTTTAATTTCTTATATTTTGTTCCCTTCTTAAATAGACCAAGAGATCTTCGAGAAAGTTTTTTTATTTTATATGATTTTAGAAATAACTTAACCACTAAGAATACTAATTTTCTTACTCACATAAATTACTATACTACAAAAATATATTATATTAGGCAAGTATAATATAGTAGATTTTATTAAAAAAATTAGGTGTAACTGACTATATATATATATATATATATATTTCAAAAGGAGTAAATAATATTTGCTTCCCTTTATTGAACTTTAAGAAAAATATTAAATTAGGCAAGCATAATATAGAAAATTCTATAAAAAAGTTAGGCGTAATTGACTGAAAATATATTTATATATACATACCGTTTACTTTTATAAATATAAATGTAATACTTAATATTAAATTAAATATTAAATTTGGTTTCCGTTTATTGAATTTTAAGAGTTAAATATTTTTAAATATATAGATATAAATGAAACTATTAAATATTGTATTAAATTATTTGTTGATTGGAATAATATATTGAATTATTATAATATGTAGAATTCTTTGCTACTAAGTTACTTGATAAAAAAATATTATATTTTAGGTAAAATATTATTTATAATCTTTTATAGTTTAAAATATATTTTTTATTCTATTAAAAGATAATTTTCATTTTCATTTTTAACAATAATAAACACTAGAAAGCTTCTAGATGGACATTCCACTCCGCTCACTTGTTTGCTTTTTTTTTTTTTTTAAACTTGCACATGCATATAAATTTAAACAATATTTTTTATTTAATTTTAATTTTAATTTCAATAATTCGTATGGTAAAAATATATATATGCATTCATATCATATATTAAATTTTGTTTAAGATATTGTTCGCGCGCAGTTTTCGTGCGAACAACCTCTGACTTCTTAACGCATGTTTATTTGCGGGACCAGCCAAACAAGTCTCAGAACTCTAGTTTGTAATGTATGGAATGGTGGTGGAATGGTGTTGTTTAGAGTAGGTTGAAAATAAATTCTAGTAAGACGGTGTAAAATTAAATAAAGAGTAATGCGTAAACAAGAAAAGAAAAAAAACAACAAAACAATGAACTTTAAAGTTGATGATATAAATTGCTTATTAAGAGGAAAGGTGGACGCGATCATACATTTTGCAGAAATAAAAAGTCATTTCTCTTAACGCTTGGTACTTAGAGTGTTTTTCCCTTACAATGTTACAAAATGCGCCTCCCCTCTAAAATGAAACCGAGCATTGCCTTAAATAGGAAAATAAAATAACTGTCATGTTGAAGTTGGTGGCGCCACGTGTCCTCCCACCACTTTTGTAACCTCCCACGTTCTCAGCTTTCAAATCTGTTTCCCGCTCAAATGTTTTCCTTCTTTGTGTTGGCCTCTTTGTCCACCAGTTCGACCTTGTCGACCGGACCTGCCTGAGTCGACCCACCAACCTTCTTCTGCTGGCGTTGACTTACCTTATTTCCTTCACCATCTTTCCCAGCCTGTCGACCCACAAGTCAGTCTTTGTGTCGCCTCTCTTTAGTCGAAACTTTCAGCCAACAAGATGCCACCTCAAAACTCAGTTTTGACGGAATACTCTGTCGACCAAGAAATTGGACGTTTTGGTTTTATGGAATTTCGATTGCGTCTTAGTTATGATACAACAAAACCATCATTGTTTTCTGTCGATTCAGCCACGCGTCACCCACAGTCTGACGTGATAATGACGCCTTTCTGCACCACGATTTCCAAGAAAAATTAATCATGTTGGTCACATCCTAACGTCATGGGTTTTGAACCACTTCCACTTACTCTCAGAATCAGAAACGTCTTTTTTCCTTTTCAACTGTACACTAAATTTGCCTATAAATAGCCCATTTCACATTTTGTTTCTTTTTACTCAACTTCTCTCGCTTCAACTTTCTTGCAAACCCTCGCTTTCACAGTTCTTCAGCTTCTTTTCCAATGGTTTCTTCGACCACTTCCACCACTCACGCCACCGACAACAATCCTATAGCATTTGTTCTTTTTGAAGTTGATTCTTTTAGGCCCCTTCCAAACCCGATGTCTGCTAATGACGTGGTGGTGGCTGCCTGGCAACGCCAGATGGTCATTCTTTTTGCTATTGCTGGAAAGCTGCATGCTTTCCATGGGCCGTATCCTGCTAACAAGCCTAGCCACGAGTAGCTTCAGGCGTTCTTTCCTTACTTTTTGACCACCATCTCGTCTAACATCATGCTCCAATATTGCTCCGACGGAATGTCATGCTGACGTTGCACTCTAATTGACTGTAAACAAATTTCTACTAGAAAAACAACATCATTAACGAATGTCAAACGAAACGGGGTTGAATTGGTCGACCCCTTAGGGGACGTTGGACCAGCCCATAAAATTTGATCCAATGTCTTATGCCAGTTCTTGGGCTTCTTGGCAACGTGCTTCTTAATGAGTCCAATTACCACCTTGTTGGCAGCTTTGACTTGACTGTTTGCCTAGGCAGAATATGGTGTCGAAGTGATCAACTTAAAACCTGTCTCCGCTGTAAATTCTTGCATCTTCTGGCCAACAAACATATAACCTTAGTCTGTCGTGATGGTTTCAGGAATCTTGGACTTGTATAAAATGTGCTTTTGGATAAATTCAATAACAGTATCTTGGTCTACTTTTACCAAAGGTACAACCTCTATCCACTTTGTGAAATAGTCTATCCCCACAAGGATGAATTTTTGTTGTTTCGACGAGTTGGTCGAATCTCTTCTATAATGTCCAACGCCCAACCACGAAAGGGCTATGGCTTAACGATGGTGTGCAATTCGCTGGCTGGCACTGCTGGACGTTCGTGTGTCTTTGACAATCTTGGATGATGGTGTGCAACCTCTATCCACTTTGTGAAATAGTCTATCCCCATAAGGATGAACTTTTGTTGTTTCGACGAGCTGGTCGAATCTCTTCTATAATTTCCAACGGCCAACCACGAAAGGGTCATGGCTTAACGATGATGTGTAATTCGCTGGCTGGCACGTGCTGGACGTTCGTGTGTATTTAACAATCTTGGCACCCCTTTGCAAATTCTATGTAATCCTTGAGCATGCTTGGCCAATACACACCTTATCGAAACAATAGACATTTCATTTTGTGGCCTGCTTGGTGATCCCCGCATGTCCCACTATGGACTTCCGAAACTGCTAAGTACGCGTCTGCGTCCCCCAAAAACTTAAGCAACACCCATTCTAGCGTCTTTTTCAAAAAATCATTCCCCATTAGGACGTAACTTAAAGCTCTGTAGTTAATCTTTCTATCAGCCCTTCCCATCGGATTGTCCAAATACTCGATGGTTGATTTTCTCCAGTCTGACGGTGACAGATTGCTGATAGCAAAGATTTCATAGTTTCCCAGACTTTCAATTAAATTCTCTGTCGGGATGTTTGCCCCACCGGCTTCTGACAAGCCTGATGACGGTAGTACCTTAGATACCACCTTTTTCTTAATTTCGATTAAGTCTCTCAGCCTTCCCACCTGTTCCATTCTTATGACTTGACCCGTCAAAGTATAACTTCCAAGGATCTGCATTGACCATCCACAGCGATGATTCGACCACTGCGTGGTCGACAATAAAGTCTGCCACTATTTGTCCTTTCATTTCCCTCAGAGGGACATATGTCAAGGCGAATTCAGTTAACGCTAGTGCCCACTTCCTAATTCGACTATGCAGAATGGGTTTAGACAACATATGCTTAATAATATCAAAATGCGACGAAACATAAACCTCAACTGGTTTAACATATTATTTTAATTTCATACATGAGAAGTACAAGCATAAGCACAACTTTTTGGTCATAGTGTACCTAGTTTCAGCATCTATTAACATTCGACTAAGGTAATAAGTGGGTCTTTCGACGCCACAATCATCCTCTTGCGCTAACATGCTTCCTATAGTTGTGTCAGACGCAACAATGTACAACTTCATGCTTTTATTCATGCTAGGTGGCAATAAAATGGGAGGCCTCGTGAGGTACTCTTTGATGGTATCGAAAGCCTCTTGTTACTCCTGTCCCTAGTGAAAGTGATTTTGTTTCTTGGCCTTGAGCAATGGCGAGAAAACCTTCATCTTGCCACTTATATTTAATATAAACCTTCTCAAAAAGTTTATCTTCCCCAACAAAGCATGGATTTGTTTCTTCGTCGAAGGAGACTTGAGATCCAAAATTGCCTTGGTTGATCTTGCATGTTGTTGCGGTGAGAATCGTGATACCAAGCTATTGATTAACTTGAATCTTAATTCTTAAATTCACAACCGGACTTTAATTTATCCAAAAAGGAAAGGTTTAAAGAAAGAAAAACCTATAAAAATGCAAAGCAAAAAGCAAGGCTTAAAGCTAAGCAAAGAGAGATCTAAAGGTTCAAGGGTTGGTTATGCCTAGGGTAGGTATTTCACATCCTAAACATCTGTAGTACTCTACAGGAACCTCTTGTTAATATTTGTGTTTGCTAAAGTTTTCTTGCTAAAGGGAATGTGCTAAGGGTAAAGATACAAAGTATATACAAAGTTTGGTAAAGTTTGCTCGCGAAGACATCGCATCTCATGCCTACGTATCCTGACGGGAATGGAATCAGAGCAACCGTAGTTCCCTTGGTAGGGTGAGGAACTCTTGACTGTGGTCAAGGTTCCAAATGGAATGTAAGCATTCATAGGGAAGTACTTACATGGAGTGCAGCGACTCCTATATCTATGTTGAGATGGTTGTAGTAGAGAATGTCCACGGTGGGACGCTAAACATGAGTACGGCGACTCAAATCCTAAGGTTAGGATAAAGGATATCCACGACGGGACGGTAAAAGTGAGCACGGTGACTCAAATCCTAAGGTTAGGATAAAGGGATAAAGGGTGTCCACTGCGGGACGCTAAAAGTGAGCACGACGACTCAAATCCTAAGGTTAGGA